GCCTTGACTATCCACAGGCGTCTGCTGTCGCAACCTGCGTGCCAACAAGTCTTAGAGTGGTGTGACCAAAATTGGCTTAGTGTGTCCCCGTGGAAGTCAATCTATGCTTTGCAAGCTTTGATCGACCGCGCTGGAACGCCTGAGATGATAGCCTGGGCGTTGCAAGGCATGGTCGATGGAGTGAGGATGTCATTTCTAGATGCAGGAGTGTTTGTCATCAGCAAGCTCAAAGACTCCAGGGTGAGCTACATCGAAGTTTTGAAAATGAAAAAAAAGGTGTTACAACACTTGCTCACTGAGTGGCTCATGTCCTTGGAATTGCCCACGGAATGGAAAAACAAGATCAAATCAACTTTCAGCTCGTTTGAGAAGGTTCGTGGGCACTTTGCTCCATACCCACAGCAAACGGCTGATACGGCCTGGTTGCTGGGGGCTCCTACCAGCGTTTCTGAAATCAGTACTTTCCTGGAAGGGGTCATCTATGGACAAGAGTATGACGGTCGCTACAAAGATGGAATCAAAAATCGGCATGAGGTGCAAGACTTTTTGGCGTACTCATCTGTGAAAAGTACCATGGAAAATTTAGGAGCACTGGTGAGACAAGAGGCAAGACCACAAGCACCAAATGCGCCGCAAGTCGAAGAAAAAGCGGAGGAGACCGAAACAGCTGAGGCTGAAGCTTCTGAGGCTGCACCGGCCTCTGTCACCGCTGCTGAGGCTGCTACGGCCTCCACTCTTACCGATTCGGATGCTGCCATGTGGCGGCAACACATGCGGAAGGTAGTGCAACAACATGTCAGATTTGTCAGCGACCATCGCTCCAATGCTGACTTGGAAGAAGCTCTGAAGGAAACTCCCTTCATGTCTTTGCGCGGTGATCAAACTGGAATGGCCTTGTTCCATTTTGATTTGAAGAAGTATGGAGAACCTACTACTCGCCCAGATATTCGGATAGCAACCTTTCGTGAAGCCCTCTACACACGGTTGGTCAAAAGTGTTTTGAATGCTCGAAAAGGTGCCACTGATGCGCATACCCCACACCTACAAGTAAGCGAGGTGGCTTTGCTCTTTGATGGTGGAAAAAAGGGGTTGAGAAACAAGCTCTTGGCACCTTGGCGTGAAGGGACTGCCTCCAAGGCGGATGGAGGGGAAGAAGGGGAGGAAGAAGGCGAAGAAGGGGGGGAGGAGGAAGATGACAAACCGACCTTGTTTGTGGACTTGCTCCAGATTGGATACAGTGAGCAGTCTTTGGCAGCCCGAAAGAAAAGAGTCAGGGGCACCTGCACCATCAAGCAGATGGAGCAGTGTCATGTGTTGAGCGCCAAAAAGTTGACCCTTCCCAGCAGGGACCGGAAGCACTTTGATGGGTCGACCACAGGCGATCTGATCACCAATGTGAAGATGCCATCTTGGACAGAGGAATGGCAGCTTGATTGGAAAACAAAAAAGGAACTTTTGGGTAAAAAACATCAAATTTTGGTGGGCGGCAAGACTGAATTTAAGGATGAAGAGAAGCCGAACGACCGAGCGAGCAACGCGAAGGAACCAGTCTCCTTCCACAGCCCACCCTTGGAGCTTTACGAAGAACTGCTCCATTGTTTTTACGCAAAGATGGTGTTCGACCTGACACCCCTTGACGCTCGTTTTGCCTACGCAGCTTTGCGGAACCGCGTCGGGTATGTCGGCGTGGCATACAATCCGGAGCACGAACGCCTCATGGAAGAGAGGCTCATGTTTCTTTTGGAAAAGGACATGCGGGACTCAACCTCCCCTTTGTTCAGCGCAGCCTACAGTGAAGCTGTGGGGGTCCAGACAGCAGCAACGCCTGAGCCTGCACCTAAGGCTAAGCCCCAGGCCAAACCAAAACCGACGCCGAAAACCAAAACAAAAGCAAAAGCAGAGCCGAAGTGCAAGCCAAAGCAAAAACCAAAGCCAAAGCCCGCGCCAGTGCCTGTGCCAGAGGACGACGAAGGAGAGGGAGCACAGGAAGAGCAGGAGGACGAAGAAGATGAAGTCTGGGATCCTTTGGAGAATGAGGACTAAGCATGGCTGCTTCGGCTTTGGGGCAGTGGTGGCTGCTTCGGCCGCTTGACTGCTTTGCAATGTTGGCATTTGGTGGCTGCTTCGGCCACAAAGTTTTGACTTTGCAGCGCGCGCAAGAAAAAATCAGCCTTGGGATCACCTGCGCGGTTTCCGAAAGCTCTTCCTTTGAATGTGGAAATGACAATGGAAAGTATGGTGACTCTCACTTGGCTGTTTTTTATCAAATGCCATCTCATCGATGCCCCTCAACCTCATAAGATGCATCAATAAAAAAGACCGTATTATGCTGATAGATCTTCTAAACATGGAACTTGGCTGGTTATGTGCTGTAGGAAGGTCCATTGCCACTCCAGAGGCATGGGAGAGGAAAGACACAACTCCAAAGGCCTGAGTGACTTCAATCCCTTAATTTACTGATAGCATTAATTATCGCCACCTAACTTCATCTGCAGCCCTCCAATGGCTGCTTTTGCCCAAGTCCATTCAAATCAGGTAACCTACCAGTGGCCCCAGCAATTTGCAAACCTCGTGCACCAAAAGAACAAAACTCGTGTGAAATGCATTGAAGCTATTTTTGTTCCATAAGGAAATAGTGTTGGTTGTAATTTCATGGCCAATTAAAAAAGATTGATTGTTACAACTCCACGCATGGCCCATACTCAAATAGGTTCAACAAGCATGGTTTCAATTGTATGAGGCACACAGCTTTTATCCTCAATTGTAATAATATTCATTTTTCTTTGATTTCAAATGTGCACTATTTAGCATTCTCGTGTTCTCACCCCTTTTGTTGAAAGGCTTTCTCGTCCAAGGCCCAAAAAAAAAAATACTACAATACCACTAAGTGAAAGCAAGAATAGGTTAGCAATTTCCTGGGGCAATCTGGGAACCCAAAAACAAGAGGAAATGCTAGAAAATGCGTTGAAAAGCACACAAACCCACCCGAAAACGTAACAAAATCTAGACAAAGCCAAGAGCATTCCTACGAAAATGCTGGAAAAGCGTTGAAAATCCTACAAATCCAACAGAAAATGAAGAAAAATCAAGGGCATAGGCACGAGTACAACAATGGAATAAAATAGGTTAGCAATAGGTTAGCAATTTTTTGGGGAAATCTGGGAACCCAAAAACAAGAGGAAATGCTAGAAAATCTTTAAGCCAATTCCTAGGAAAATGTTGGAAAAGCCTCTGAAAATCCCACAAATCCAACAGAAAACGTGACAAAATCTAGGAAAAATCAAAGGTATTGGCGGGGATCACGCCGCGATGGACCGTGCTTATTTTCCCGCGCGGGTGGAGAGGGTGCCCCAAGATGTAATTAATTACTTGGGATGGACAAATCTTGGACAATTCCTGGAGAAATTTTGTCGAAATCTTGTCGAAATTTTGTCGAAACCTTGGCGAAATCTTTGCGAATTTCGGCAGATTTCGTCACTGCAACAAGGGTCCGGAGGGGTAGGGTAGGTAAGGCTAAGGCTAAGGTCTAAGTCTAAGTCTAAGGCTAAGGCTTAAGGCTAAGGCTAAATCAACAGTCACGCCTCACCCCACGAGTGGGGTCGGCGGATTTTTTTTGTGTGTGTGCCAAAGGGTTCTCTTTTGCATGCGCGAATTCAAGAACGCAGGGGGTGCAAGCAGCCTATCCAGTCTTGCACAAACGAAGACACTGGATGCGTGCTGGGACGCTGGATCAACATACCTGCACGTGAACTTTCTCCGCGTTTTTTGTTGTTTCCATGGTGGTTCTCATGCTATTTCCCTAAACCTCCCCCCGCAGCAGCTGTGCCACTGAGCCGCTGCCGCATCCTGCAGTCACGCACAAACTTTTGTTCAACAGATTCAACTGAGCAGACCACTTCGCCTTACCGTTCCATCGCCTTTTCTCGTGGATTATGAAATTGAGTGAACCTGTGACTAAATTGAATGTGTCTCGCTGTGCTTTCCCACTTGGGGGCGCAGTGTGATCCCCCGCAAGGGGTCGCTCAAACCATTGTGAATCACATATCGACTTAGCGGCCTTGAGTCCTTGGATTATGATATCGGATTGTTTCTCCTCTCTCCTTGACAACAACCAAAACGCTGGCTGAAACTCTTCCTTTGTCTCCCAACCGCTCAATTTACCAAAAGCCGCGCAGCCGACCGCCCTTCCTTCGAACCGGGGACATGTCAGTCTGACCGCTTTTACTCCGCCTCAACGGGGCAACAATGCTGACAGTCAAATTCAACCAAACATGCAGCCGTGCCGCTGAGTGCAACAGCATGACTCTTAATCACTTGCGCCGGAATAACGGCTGTCTGTGTGTGTCTCCCCCTGTTCCAAAGGGTTCTCTTTTGCATGCGCGAATTCAAGAACGCAGGGGTGCAAGCAGCCTATCCAGTCTTGCACAAACGAAGACACTGGATGCGTGCTGGGACGCTGGATCAACATACCTGCACGTGAACTTTCTCCGCGTTTTTTGTTGTTTCCATGGTGGTTCTCATGCTATTTCCCTAAACCTCCCCCCCGCAGCCGCTGTGCCACTGAGCCGCCCCCGCGTCCTGCAGTCATGCACAAACTTTTGTTCACCAGATTCAACTGAGCAGAGCACTTCGCCTTACCGTTCCATCGCCTTTTCTCATGGATTATGAAATTGAATGAACCTGTGACTAAGTGTGTGGGATGACTCGTTACTGTAAGTGAAATGTGCCTGGGTGGGGATTTTGGCGCGTTGAGTATGCGATGCGGGCGCATTGCCGGAAGGAGTGCCAGTAGAACCTTGACAAAAGGCATGCAAAAGCTGGGTGTTGATGAATGTGAGATGTTTGGGTGTTTCTTCGGCTTCTGCGGCCACCAGAGACTACCGGCTCCCAAGAGAGACCCCGGAGCGCAATTGTCGATCTTACGATGGTAACCTGCAGCGGACCATGACCATGAGGGCTGTAGGCCCATTTGCTCCCACCACTCCACGCACATCGGGGAGGAGCTTTAAGTGGAATGCTCAATGCCGCCACCATCAAGTTCGGTGGAGCTGAGGTTCGTTTTTGGACAGGGGCCTGGTGTGGGCAAAATGTGCCGAGCTAGCATGAGATTTGCTGAAGACAATACATTTTGGTATAATCTACTCAATTCCTAACCTCCATGGCCATCCTTATTGAATAGGCGATCATCGTTGATTCTACAAAATGAATCACTCTCGAGTAGCGAAACCACGGAAAGGAAAGGCAACTGACGGATGACAGCAAATGACAGAAAGGCTCTGTTTAATTAGGATTGAATAGGATTGACATGCGTGACCTCTAGCAACCAGGCCTCATTATGGAAAGGTACTTGTTGTGAGAACGGAAAGGGCCAAAAACAAAGGGCATGAGAAAGGAAAGGAAAAGGAAGGAGGAGAACAGAAAGTCAATCAGCAACAAACCAAAGGATTGAAGGAGATTTCTAGAGCGGAGTTGCCTTTCCAGAGGGACAATGTTGGTTGGTTCTAAGTTCTAACTATAGATTTGCTCGAAATTTGAAATGCCTATCAACTTATGTGGAAGATGGCTCGGCTATATTTATTGATGGGGTTTTAATCCTTTCATATTTTTACGTATTAGGTGCAACTGGACTAAGTGGCCGACTCTAGGGTGCTTTTGTGCCATGCAGGTGCTGCCGTACCTGTCATTAATTTCAGCAGCAGCTTGGCAGAAGGCCATGGAGACTTACAGGAGGTTCCCACTTGAATCCATTTTGCCTGACCTTATCCCCTGAAACAGGCCCAAACGGGATTGAACTGCAATGTCGGCAGCAACTTGCAGACTTGCGATTCTGAAAGGGGCAAGTCTATTACTGACACTGCCCCACGCTGCCAAGGGATTCATTTTCCTCATCTACTTGCTTGGTTGCTTGGCCGCGGACCATGGGGACAATGGATGCGCATGGACGCGCTGCCTTGTATGCTCTTGTCGTGAGATGGCTTCAAATTGCTTTAAAGGCTGCAAGGCCATGCAAGGCCTTGCGGCTGGGGATGCTGTTGTGCATCGAGTTGGCGTCTTGCAGCTTGCATGCTGAATGCATTGGCCCAACAACTACGGAGGGACTTGGTAACTGCTGGAGTAGCTGCTACTGTATCAGGGCCGAAGCTAGATGTCTCAGGATAAAATTGATGGGACCTGTACTCAGGTAGCTCACATGAGAATAGCGGCAAGTGCCAAGTCCGTGCTACGGGATACCAATATAGATCAACATAGTAAGTGGGAGATGCCAGGATGTATAGCCTTACAACTTATAACGGCCGGCATCGGAGTTGCTCAGGCCTGCAACGATACTTGCTGTTGATGCCCACAGCGGTGCTCGGCTGAAAGCGCATGTCACGCTTGAAGAAGCTCTCTTGTAATTGCCTCGTGACAGTTTCTTCTAGCTCTGCAGGTGATGACGCCATTCATCAGAGCAGATATATAACGATTTATAACGGCTTTGGGTGAAGCACTTGTGCCCATTCAATGAGCTCACACAACAAGGATTAGCTAGGAAGGATGCAGAAAGCTCAACTGGTTTCTTTATCCCCTGGTGCTCAAGAATGGGATCACTTCTTCCTTGAGGTGTTTGAAGGTTTCACCTTGGCGGTGGCCTTCATCATCGGCCTTGGACAGCTCGAGATGGCTTTGGATTTGCCCCTGGGAGGGGTGACACCTCGGACGGGTGACATGGGCACCTTCGGCAATGTGGCTGACGGCATGCCGAAACAACACCAATCATGGGTTCAAACAGGCACCAATCTGGTGTTTCTAGATGTTTCTAGTTTTGTTTACTAGGTGGATGTTAATATACGTGGGTATGGTGATTGGAATATTTTGCCCTGGCCAGAGCCACTTTCGATCAAGGCAGTTCATTTGGATATCAAGAGTCCGATGCCATACATTGTCAAAAAGTATTATTGTTAATTCCTTTTCGGTGAGTCGCATTGTCTCCTTTGGTCTATGATTTTTCCAACGATGCTGAGGTCCCCTGATGGGCCCAAATCTGAGCACTTTCACGAGCGTCTGGGCTTGACCGTGGGCGCAATGCTTCAGAGTGATAAAGGCATCATGATCAAGGTGGTTCAGTGTTGTTAAATTCTTAAGCACCGTTGAACCCCAAAACATGGGTGAAGATCCCCAATGAACATGATCTAGCCCATTCATTCCTGCTTAGTTTTCTGAGTAAGCCAAACCTCCTCTCCCGTCAAGCACAGCAGATCCACTCATCGAGACCTTCCACTCCGTTCGAGCTGAGGAATTTGATCCGCTCGCTCGAGGCGCTCCACGGCTACAGCTTGGCACCTGCCATCCTATTCTTCGTGATGACTGCATTGTGCTTTGGGCGAGACGGGCGGATGGGCGATACGGGCGGCGATACGGCACACCTCTGAGAGAAGAAGGTGCTTTTTCAGAGGCCGACGGTGTTCTTTGCGATGGAATTGGGTGGGTTGGTTGAATGCATGCAAAGTGAGGGTTTGTGCACGGAATTTGCCATCATGCGGTACCTGCACGTGCCAGTGTGCATTGAATGATAAGCAAGCAGGCAGCCGGGGTTTGGTTCCTGCTGGACCTTTGTCAGGTGAGCGCTGTCAAGTGGCAGCGCAGTTTTTGTGAGGCCACGGTTCTCTTTGTATAGAAAGGTCGTCCAGACAGCCACGGGGCTAGAGTGAAGCACAGATTGCAGACCGGGATTTTATCCCAGTGAATCCCAGTTGAGTAAAAGCTTGCTGATTGGGTTGCCTAGCAGCTCATGGCATTCCACGCTAGCCATTCCGCCATTCTTCAGGACGACACCCCGAGGGACCCTATGTGGGTATGAGAGGAAAACTCCAGAAAAGACATTCAGTCCATTCCATTCTCTCCTTTTTTGCTCTATCTCACGAAGTGGCTCAAGTGTTTCGAAGCACTAACTGAGGCTGCTGGCACTGGTGAAATATGCTGGGAAGATCAAGGGAAGGTGGGTTTGTCGCAAGCTGTTCGCTCCGCTGCCATGCGCTCAGTCATTTTGTCACCCTCGTAGGGCCTTTGTTGATGGGAAGAACCGTATCTACCAAAATCTGCGAAATCTACTGCAGGAGGTTGAAACGTTTGGTTACAAAACGAGTATATAAGTAGACTTTGGGGTGGTGTTGATCTGCTTTTTCTTGGCTGGTTGAATTGGTGTTCTCTTCTCAGCCATTTGGAATCTTCTATTAGACCCAGTCTGACGGGCGAGAATCTGCCTCTCCGAGCGGGCTGCCGCCGGAGAGCATCTGTCGTGGCAGGTCAGTGCCGTGGACGGTGCTGATCCCAATCTTCACGATCCTGTTGGGCTATTTGTCGGACCAGAAGATGTTGGGAGGCATCGTGCTGCCCACTTTGAAGGACAAGTACGGCCACCCGGAGAGAAGAATTGGATGGTCGGTCGGTGCGTACGAGAACCCACATTGGAAACACTTGGTGAACTAGACTAATTAATCATGGATGTGGAAAACCACCTGTTTGTAGAGGAAAATTGTTTTCCAGGGGAGTGTGCCCTGGCACCCAGCCAGAGTGAAAGGGTCCCTGATCCAAAAGATCAAAAGGGGTCCCTGATCCCCTACTCAACCAATGTGTGCAGGGAGATGGGGATGGTGGTGACCTAGGTACCTTGAAGCCCAGGGTGGTGGAAGCGCCCTCAACGCCCTTGGCAGAGTTCGCTGAGGGTCAGGTGATTGAGCTTATCCGTGCCTCGGGATCACAAGGGGGCAGGGTGGATGAGGGACGGTAGGGTGACAGGACGAGGCACTTCTTTCGAGACGTGTACATACAAAACCCTTATCTAAGCGTTTGCCTTACTGTTTCCGTGGTAGTTTATATAGGGGGTTGGTACTACACCTTTGGATTTGCTACCATTTGTGGCGGTTCATGTCTGGTAAATCTTCAGAAATCAGATGGCAAAATAGACCCGCAAACCACTTGCAAATCAGATGTCCCTAAAACTATACCTGTTCGGATCTATCACTCAATGTCAACGTATTTATCGCGGTGATGAAGCACACAAAATCTGGCCGAACAAAATGAACATGCTCCCACACTCATGATAACTCACACCCCAAGTTTATTGGATTGGTTATTGGGTGATGTTGATTTGGGTTTTAGGATGTTGCAGGGCTTTCTCCTGCTATTGGCATGGTATTGAAAGACATGTTGGGCAGTGGTGGGGCAGCCTGGCTTGATGCCAGTCTCCCGATGCAGACTTCGCATTCGTCGTGCGTCTTCAGGCACCGCCTTCGGCATTTCCTTCGTGGCAGTCCTCGAGACGTTGATCTCGGCCAAGATCGCTGAGCAGAGGCCCACCGGTTTCGACCGAGAGCCACGGGCCACGTTGTTCCGCTCGACCTTTCCATCAGTTTTTCTGTGGACGGGTCACTGTGCTGGGTCAGTCTTGGTCAGTCTTAAGAGTTGTTTGAGTTGATCACTACAGGTGAGCATGTGAGGTTTCTTGAAGGGGGGCAGGGTGGGATTGTTTGCTGCTGTGAGAGGCTTCAGGCGTGAGAGGGCGAGATACCGACCCATACTTGGCTCATGCAAAGTGCCAAAATAGAGGCCTCATGCAGTAGTTGTTTATGTTTGAATTTTGGAGCTATTAGGTTGGAGGCCATCGCAATTGATTTGTGTACCTAGTCGATCCCTCAGCTTGGGGCATGGCTACCTTTTAAAGCAGCGGCTCTTGTCATCAATCTCATCGTGACAAAGGTGTAGTGTCCGAAGTTTCGCATGGCAGTCATGCTGCACTCCAGGATGAACTATCCCTTTGACAGCAGCCGGGAGACTCTGGGGCTCATGGTTTGCCACGCTGTGTGCGGAGCGGTGGGGGCATTGCCGCCCACGGGCGTGTTCGTGCGAACGTCCTTGAATGTCCAACTTCGAGCGACGCATCGGATGTCTCAGATGATCAATGCCATTGCGGTCTTTTTGATCTTCGTTCCTTGGCGAACCAGTGACGGTGGGCCTCAGTCTGACAACAAGATGTGGTTCTCCAGCTGAAGCCTCTTGGGAATCTCCGTGGTGTCATTGTTTCATCCCGCAGGCTCGTGTGCTCGGCCAAGGTTGTGGCCATGCCAGTGTTTTCCTACCTTCCACAGGCTGCAGTTGCAGCGTTGCTGGTGTTTGCTTCCATCAAGATGGCACCAGTTCACTATATCGCGATGCTTTGGCGCAGTGACCGGAGGAGCTGTTTCCTTCTCATCATGACTACTTCCATTTGCATCTCACCTGCAACAAGAGATGAGTCCGGGATGCAAAAGAGTGAAGCAGCTCAGCGGCTCACCATCACTTACAAGTCAGATCAATATGATTCAACACTTTAACTATCTTTAACTTAAACGGCTCTAGCTTGCCCAACTGCAAAGTTGAAGGCCTCTGACTGTCGTCACACGGTGATTTCCTTTGGTGCCCCAGGCCGAGGCGACAAATCCGGCGGAGCTGGATTGATGTTTACCTTCCCAAAGTGACACAGGAACCCACGATATAATATGTGGAATGAATTGACATGTTTCTGTTGCTGTTCGTATCCTTCCTGCTTCATCCCGAGGTGTCTTCTTGGACCCAGTCTATGGTTTGGTGGTGGGCATGGTGGTCGCTCTTCTGAGGGATGCGGCGGAGACCGCGCGCGCCGAGTCGAGGGTGACCTTGGACAAAGCCGCGGTGGAGGCACGAGCGCACCGACAGGGACCGCATGGTGGAACTCTGCGATGAAACAATATGAAACAAGAGCCTTCAAGAGCTCTTTCTTTCAATTCTGTTTGAGGCCTTTAGACTCTATAACCTTTCTTCTCCTTTTTACCGTTTCTGCAAGGAATGCCATCAAATGTGAGGTTAAACTATGGCTCCTTGCATTCCAGATGGCCTTGCGACCAATCACCACAATCAGGTCGAACACACACACACACACACACACACACACGCAGAGAGAATTACCCTTGTACAGACACTTTCCCGACCAGGTGAGCAGTACCGGCACACCCCTCAGTGACCATGGTGTGCTCTCCAAGCTGCTCGCATCAGAAGATCATTGTGGAGGGCCGAAGACAGGCAGTCTCAGGGAAACCTTTGCAAGGAGGCTCTCGATTAAGATCCATGCGCGGTCCGGAAACGGTCCTGCACATGGACACTGAGTTGCCTTTTTTGGGTTGCTGAGTGTGCTAGAAAGTGTTGGGTTGCCTTCTTGGACGATTTTGAAGTGTGACAATGTGCCAGACTCCTTAGATGCAGTTTCACACAACACAACAAACCTAGGGGTGTGTAATTTCCAATCAAACATCGGATCTATTGACATTGTATAGGACTAAGAGGATCTCAAGGATATAAATCTGAATATCAATCACAGAAACATGTGTGGATCGGATGCCATCAAGCTTCAGGCTCGGATGCCTGACCGGACACCCATCTCCCTAGCGGCCCTAGATCGAGCTACTACGACCCTCCAACAACTGTGATTGAGCAGTTGCATTAACATATCATATGTGGAAACTGAACATGAAGGTCATCCAGGGTGGAACATCCGCAGACCCGCACTTGACCCGCAAACAGTTTGCCGTCCACCACACGCCCGTCCCGGGTTTGACAGTGATGTCCATCGCTCAGGTGGGCCACTGCTTCCTTTGATCATGGTGCAAACCTCGCCGTGAAACCCTCACCACTGGCGACCCTTGGAGAACAAGTTAGTTTCTCCCACGTTTGGTTGGCCCTGGCCGACCCTAGGACCTAGGATTGATGCTGCAGTGCTGTAGCAGTCTCAACTCGTCAACCAGCGAAAACTGCGGAGAATTTTGGTTCACCAGCACCTCCCACTGTTCGTTCGTTTCATTTCAGCTGGATGAGCGTCTGGCATTTCAGGACTCTGAATCACTTGGTCCAACACTTTGCTTGTGGCAAACCTCGAAAGCAGATGGACAACGACCTCCACAATCACGCCGCTCAGCTGAAACTTGTTGCGCTTTTTTTGGTGGGGTCTTGGAGTGTGTGTGTTTTTTGTTTTTGTTGGGGCATGTTCTTCAGTAGGCTCCCAGGGTAGTTAGTAGGGTTTGAGATAGTTTACGGACATCTTGTGGCATATTATTATCATAGTGCTAGTTTTTGACATGTCCACCGTCCACCAGAGGATTTTCCTTCATTGAGTCTTGAAGGTGCCTCTTGAAGTCTTGTTTGGTCGGTCTCCTGAGGACTACGAGAGTGCGGTGCTCTACGAGCCCATGGGTTCAATGACCTTCTTATGCGCGAGCAAGCATTTGTCACGCTTGCAAGCACTGGCGAGGAAGAACCCGCCGTGCATCATCGTCCTTTGCTCCGCAAGTGAGTGATGGTGAGGGATCAAGATCGACAGACTCCCATTGAAGTGGAAACCCTTCGTGGGTTTGCAGAAGACCATGTGCTCCAAGGGGGTCATTTTTCGGGCGGAGCGAAGCTGCTTGTTTTGGAAAGGACTGAAAGAACCCCCCCCCACAGGTCTGGGAAGAGAATCCGTCTCAACATGTTGTCGCAGTTTCGATGGTTGTTTGACGAAGACACGTAGTTTCATCCGAAGGATATGCTTGTCCTGGTTGAAGAAAAGGAGTTTTTTTCCTCCCTCGCGCTGGCTATTGTGAGTATCTATGACAAGATGCCAACCTACCTGTTTGTAGTGCAAGGAAGTAGATCATGCATAGTATCCTGACACTCTCCATCATCCTGGGTTTTCAATTGGTTGACCAAACATCGTGTCGCGTGGCTAGCGGCTAGACTTCACGTGGCCACAGGTCTCCTTGGAGCATGTCACCCGCATCGATATCGATGGCTCTCAGACCTTAGCGAAGGCAGCGCAGGAGATCAAGGCCCATGGCTGCACCCTGGCAGCGAAAACAGCCCGTTCTTTGTGGAAGAGGCTTTGCAAGACTGTAACCGGACCATAACATACCAGCCGGCTTAAGGGTTCAACACAAGCCAATTTTTCTGCTTGGTTTGTCCATGTTTTAATATGTGTTAACCTGTTTGAAAGCGCGCACGTCCCAAATAGCCTTCGAAGATGAACTAAATCGCAGGTTTCTTGAGTTGTTTTGTTTGCTTGATTGGCCAGTGGGGGCAACCAGCCGCCTGCTTTGAACGAGTATAGAAGAAGCACACCATATCACCACACCTTCATCTACTTTATATTTGACTCGCTACTGAGCTACTGAGTAGCCCTGTCAAACTATGACTCAAACTTTTTGGCATTTGGCCGGACACATGGGGCAAAGCAACAAGGCAGTTCTCCTCCAGACGCCTCTTCAGCTTGAGTTGTCAAGGCTCCACCCTCCCTCACATCGCCACCAGCTCAGGCGAAGTGGCGTTGGTGGTGCCTGACTTGCTTTTGAATGGGCCCATCTTGAAAAAGGCGGCATGGGTCAGTGAGTTTAAAGGTCTCTTGGGCGGCAGATGGAGCCGTGAAGCGTGTTGACACGGTGGTAGCGGCACGGTGACATGATGCGGCACGTTGACCAATGTTTGGTTTGCCCGGTTCCCGTGGTATGCTGGTAATGCTTTTTCGTGGGGGGATGGGGATGCGTTAGGATTTTGGGCAAACCGTTGGTAGGGGTGTCTCAATCAATCCGATTGAATCTATAGGAACGAACTGAAAGCTGCCCAATCTGTGAACTGCGTCTTGATGTGGATAAAAGCCAAGAGCCTTAGATTGTACCTTGAAGGTTGTGCAGTCTCGTTCGCTTACTGATGTTTGGAAGCCAGCCCCAAACTTCCAAGCGACCATGCTTTCAATATACAGTGAAGGGGATGGAACCTTGCAAATTTGCAAATCTTTTGCTTCCTGCACAGTCTCAGGTGATGGCCACCTATACAGTTCGGTGGCAGAAGCAAAGGCGGAGTGCTCGATTTAAGGTTCCTGCGTACCGCAGATGACAATTAGATCAGAGGCAGCTTGCGTGGAGCACAAGGCCACACACGCAACGAATGTTTAAACCTCTACTTGCATGCGCGCCGGCCATGCGCGCTTGTAGCCGCAAACAGGGACTGCCAGGTGATGAATGTCTTGTTTCAGCTGAAAATGTTCTCCAGAAACTCTAAGGTTCCACAACGGTCGGCCCTGGCGGAGTTTCGATTTCATGGTCTTGCTGTGCTTTGCCGCAAGCCATTTCAAAGGTTACCAAGACCAGGCATTCGGGTTCCAACAGACCTGGGCTGGTCAACTAGGGGTGCTCGAGGCGGAAGTCAATCCCCATGCCAATCATACGGCAAACACCGAGGCTTCAGAAACTGCTAGGCTTGGGAAAACGGGCGCCTTCTTCGTATCCATCGCATGCCATTGACCTCCACCACAGTTCAAATCGTTGGCAGACTTCCACCCCGAAACACCCCGAGTTACGTGGGGGAGCACGGCATCTTTTCCAGATCTGGGCACCTGCTCCGATCGCCGGCGGTACTGTCAAGGAAAGCTGCGTGATCGGGTGTGACCCAGGCACGAAGCGGAGCATCGAGGAAAGCAATGTGAATACAGTAATGTGATCGGAGCACCCTTGAGGAATTTTCCAGGGATTTGCTGTGAGGATGTATTTGCTTTGACCTGTGGCTTGAATCGAAGCTATCAAAACGGTTGGTCTTTGCTTATTGCAAACAGGTCAATGGATGATGCAGATTGTAATCGTTTTGTTCACCCCTTTGCCCATGTCCGCGGGGCCCCGTAGCCCATTCGGGTGGGTGTTCGACGGATTGGCTTTCACCTCTCACAGGGGAAGCAGCGCTCAGGTGCCCCTTTCACACCAGCTGACACATGGCCCTCACACCCATGAGACCCGACCCGCAGTACCTGAAAGCCCCTCAGTACCCGAGCTCGCGTAGGTTCAGGCAAGTGGAGAAGCACTTGACCAGTGAAGGGTGGTTCTGTTTTGATGATGTTGTATTGCCCTGTGCATATATATATATATACAGTTGGCAAGATTTACATTTCAATAACAAGTGTATATTCAGGGTATTGCAGGGCAGGACAGCAAATCATTTGGACTTGTTGTTGCATCATTTTGAGACTCCTTGCGGCTGTCATAGTGCTATGCCTGGGTGAAGGGCATCATTCCGGAATATTCCCGAGAGAATTTGCATAATTTGGACAGCAACACAATTGCCAGCAGGTCTACATTTTGTCAGGGCCGATTTTGTTTGGTGATGAAGAGAGTGTCCCAGGAACTTGGGCCCGCAACATCACTTCGTAGTTAGTAGTTTCTATTTTTTCGTAGTTAGTAGTTTCCATTATTTTTCTGCCTCTTGTTTCCGATCCACCAATGTGAACTCGTGGTCCGCTTCCCGCCATGTCAATTCAAATGCATGCACCAGTGCTACATAGTGCCACGCAGACTGTGCATACATGGCACCCTAGTAAGCTGCAGTGCACGTCTGGGCAAGAATGCCAAAGATTGCGCAAGAGCTGGACTGTTTGGCATGGACCGAGTACGACCCAGGCTGCCTCGCTACGCTGCCCCGTTAGGCTGCCCCACTCTGGGTAATGTGAGTGCTGGACTGTCTTCGGAGCAGGTAATGAACAGAGCAAACACGTTTCAAACCACAGGGCAACCACTTTGGTCAGCTTTGGAGTTTAGAGATACGCGTAGATGGCTGAGCAAGGTATCACAGCCAAGAAATTCCCAATGACTATCCTCAAGGAAGTTGAGCCAGCCAACCACACTTGCCTACACTCACGACTTTGTTGATGCCCTGTAATCTTGGCTGAACCCTGCCCTACTGGGAGAAGCGTAATCATCAAAGAAATGCCACAATGGGTGAGCTGACCATATGAAGGATTTGGCATGTCAAGTTGGGATCGATGATGTTCAGTCAGTTGGACGGACCACCCCAACCTTCGCTTGACTGCAGGAAGATCACATTGATGACTGGTGGATACCCTAAAAGTGCCAGGTCCGTAGATCAAATGCTGATGGTGGATCACATGCTTTGCGAATTCCTTGGACAATACTGCATCCTTGATTCTGGCCATGTCTGTGCACAGAGCATGTTGCGATATCAAGGCGGGAAGGGGGGGGTAATCCAATTCGCTTTCTTGAGTGCCCGGGCAGACCACTATTGAATCTCCAGGGCCTGCTTTCCGCAGGAAAATGATCCATTCAAGCATTCCTTCTGATCTAAAAGATCCTTCAAAGCCTCCGGGGATCTCCAGGGTAATTACTGCTGCTCTAAAGACATCATGTCGGTAGCCTTTAGGTGTGTTCCCGTTCCAGAAGCGTTTAGTTTGTGTCGGTTAAACATGTCACGTGGTTGTTTCGGACTGTTTTGCTCTCGCATTCCCTTGAACATCCTTGAACAATAGAAATCTGCTGATGCCTTCGAGCCAAACGGCACCTTCTCACAGACATGATATCTTGAAGCAACCACCGGCAATGTTTCAATTTGTTGTGGCCAACATGCAGGTTCCCCGCCTGGGCTCCTTGAACAAAAACCCAACCTCGGCAGAGGAAGGTGCATCCTTGGAAGACGCTGGGATGCAAATCCCTTGATCGATTAGGAACCAAGATTGCGTCCAGTTTGTGGTGTACGAACCACTTTGCAATCGTTTGCGCATGGCAGAGGTGCCGTGTCTATCACACTTGACTATGAAGATTGACAATTGACAATCAGACTGCCGGGCCGCCACGCTGTTTGTTCCGTCTACGAGGATGTGGAGATGTGAAACTACGTGACACAGCGTAACACAACACTTGGCACACAGAGCTAGAAGCGGCGTACGTACTTGTCGCGTGAATAAAGGAAGGTTATTCAATGTGATTCGTGGTCAAAAATACTTTGGCTAGTAGGTCCGCAAGGTGTTTGTGATTGACCACCATTTGGGTCGGTGAATTGCCTCCAGTTTGTACATATATATATATATGTGCCGCCTCGTGACTTGTGACAGTTGTTTCTTGAACCTCGAGAGATGTGCACCTTGGTCCATGGGCTGTGTGGGGGTTTTCGTTTTTTTTGTTGCTGAGGAATTCCGCGCTCACTGCACTGAGCAAGGGCTGGAATGTGATACCATCCACTACTCAGTGCCCAGAAGACCCTCAAAGGGACAGAGCAACTTGGCGAGGCTCTTGCCATTGCACACAGCTCCTTGTTCTTCAACTTGTGTGATCCATATTCTTGCTGAAGCTTGAGGGGTCCGGACCTTCCCAACTAGAGAGTCGCAGAGCTTCAGCTCAAAGGGGTCAGATGGCCCATATACGGTTCTTGTACAACCTGGACTACCTTGCTGTGGACATCCTGGGGCTGACTGTCTTCTCACGTGTCGCTGTTCTGAGGTGAAGCCAAGAAGGGCCAGGTCACCTTCTTCGGCTACTCGGCCACTACTGGACGAGCAAGACAGCTTCAGCCGCCATCTCACCCGCATGTGTCGGTGCACCCACTTGCAGTTGCCCAAAGAATGGTTCGAGTCATGATTTGTCCCAGAATTGCGCTTTTGCGTTTGGCACAGGTCCAAGCTTCCATCCTATAGTCGTTTTTTGCTGGTGTTGGTGTCCATCCTACATGCATGTGTGAGGATCTCGAATCTAACAGGAGGGCAGAGTTGATCCATCCAGTTGCTAAAACCGAGCTTGTGGAGAGTTTTGGAGACATGGTTTCCTATTTCTTTGGGGTCCTGGCTGCGGAAGGCCCTGTGCAGAAAGTCTCTCCAATGCTTCAGCTTTAGTCAGGTGATGTTGACTGGGTAATCCAGGGCAATCCCGACCAGGAGAAGGCGGGAGACCGGCCAATGGGCAAAAGGAACTTGGACCCGCTGACTTTCCATGCGGTTCCTCTATGACATAATTGTAATATAGTAAGCGTTTTGGATGTTGTTGGTCAGGTGCCAGTTCCAGTCCGGCCCGCATGCCAAAAAATACCTTATCGCGGTTGTGAGCGTGGGAACCTTGAGGGTTCCATGTTCCACCGTTTCCACCGTCCACTTTCTCAAGGACCCTGTCAGGAGCCCGAAGAGGCCTCGGAGGGGTGATGAGACGGATTCGTGTCATGCCTTCCCTCAGGGTCCGGATTTATTATTCATGCTCCGGAACATCAAATAACTCATCAAACACCCACGTGTTGCGTGCCATGACCCAGCAACGACCACGTTCTTGTGGGGGTCCTTGCTTCAGACTTCAGACATCTTCAGACCTTAAATTCGCAGCCCCAGAGCTTTGCGGCTGCGATGATCATGTCTCAAGCTTGATAGGCTTCAACGCTTGCCGGATGGGCCGATGAACATGGTTTTGCCATGCACCTGCCATTCGACGTTCGCGAATGATCATGTGATGTTTAGCAGGTGCAGCGAATCATCGATATGGCGGACATCCGCTATGGCTTCGAAGCTGGCCAGCTGAGCTGCATTGGAGAAAGGAAGCCGGGGCCATGGGGAATCCTCACAGAAAAATGTCTTTGGATCAACCGCCGGAGGCCCCAGCTCACCAGGACCATTGTGTTTCAGAGAATGGAACTGGCATTGAAGAGTGCCAGGAACATCCAGAAACACCGGGAACACCCTGAAAATGACATCCTGCTTGACCCAAGGTTCAGGAAATCACCGATCTTCGGTGACTGAGCAGTCCATCTCTTCAGGGTAACCCTGTTTCGCCGTAACCGCTTTGCTGTAACCGGTCCCTTTGGCCAAGAAAGACCGGAGGTTTGGCTTCAAGCTGCGGGAAACAGTCCCAACAAACAGGTGTGCAAGGTTGTCACTATCCCGTTGGGTTTATACGGGACGCTCTACACAAAATCAGTGAAAGAGTTCCGATCTGCAGGGGGGAAGGCGATGACAGGTGGACCTCCTTAAGGCACTACCGCCCCGCCCGGCGATGACGCGGGGCACGGCGAGATGGTCGCCTTCAATGGGAATGGCTTTGTGAAGTCCACACGGACCGGG